TTACACTTTATGTTTCAAACAATTTTAAACTTAATGGTTAAAAATATATAACCACGATAAAATCAACAAGCCACTCAAAACACTACACCGTTATCGTTAAAAGCCTAAAACACAAGAAATGTACTATAAAGACACTATACAAAAAACTTTTAAAATAACACCGTTCAAACAATCATTTGAAATTTATTTCCAATATTATCTCGTCTAATCATTTTTTTATAGTGCATCTGTAACAAATTTAGCATAAGTTGAAGAGAAATGTTTGAGTACAAATTGTCGACAACTTCTCCCAATAAGTATCCAACTTATGTAAAATATCCGCATTGTGAGAACCGGATGCATACAGCTGTCGCACCCAAGAATTTATTAAAATTAATTAAGACATAAGTACTTGCACCTCATCTTAAGCTTTATTATTCTATGATGTTGGTAACTCTTTTCATAAATAAAAAAAACAAATTTTCCAATCAAGCTCAGAATCTTTCATCATGTTTGCCCTTTCTTTTGTTTTTATATAAAAATGTGGATCCTTTATGTCTAGTTAAATGAGATATTATATTTATGGAAAATATATAAACAACTCAAATCTTATCCAAACTCCAGAATCCGGAAAATTTTCAAACCAAGACAAAAAAATCAGGCCCACCGTCTTAGAAAACCACTCTTCCACAAAAGCCCAAACCCACAAACCCGCCAACAGATATTTTCCCACCCATCTTTTTACTATATATACCCACTCCACCACCTTTGTTTGTTGCATCAACGGCGCTCTGCCTCTATCTCCAGAAACCACTTCAAAAAATCTCAAACTGTTCTCGAATTTCGACCGTCCGATCGTTGAAGATGACTGACGTGGCAGAAAGCGAGCGGAGGATCCTCGTGGCCGTCGACGAAGGCGAGGAGAGCATGCATGCGCTGTCGTGGTGCCTGAAGAACGTTGCAGGGCAAAATTCCAAAGATACCCTTGTCCTCCTCCACGCCAAGCCCCCGCGAGCTGTGTTCACGGCTCTAGATGGCACAGGTAGGCGAGAGGACCCATCAGGTATTTTGTTGTGATTGTTGAGGTTATTTTGGGAATAGGATATGATTCAGTGGTTTTTTGTGTAATTTTGTTTGGGCTTCAGCGTATTTGTTTTCGTCTGATATTTTGGCGGCAACGGAGAAGTACGGCGCTGATGTCGCGGACTGCGTTATGGAGAAGGCGAGGAAGATGTGCAAGGACCTCCAGCCTGATGTAAGCGTCAGAGTTTTGATTTCGTGAGGGTAAAATTGTCATTTTGCTTTTAGGTTTTGATCAGACGGTCGATTGTTGCCCTGGTCAGCTTAAGGCGGAGACGAAAGTAGAGAGCGGAGATCCGAGGGATGTCATTTGCCAGATGGTAGAGCGGGTTCGTGCTGACGTGTTGGTTATGGGAAGCCATGGCTATGGCGTCATCAAGAGGTGGGTCCCAAATCATGATACAGTTTTTGGTTTTTTAAGTAAACTAATCTGAACTATTTCGTAGTATATTGATTTTCTTCTTTCACTAGTAAGGACATCTAGTAATTTCCTGCACGATTTGTTAGCTCACTGGAAAATTAACAAACTTCTTGTTAATTCTTGACTATTCAAGTTGTGATCCAATCATCTGTTAAAAATGCGTTGCGTCGTTATCAGTATCTCTTAAGAACTCGATAAAATATCGTCGACAATACTTTGTATCATTCATTAATCCGACACAATGGGACATTACCTATTACAGAATTGAGTTGTTGTCGGGTCCTCTTAAGAACATATTAAGATAATAAGTTTACATGGCACAATCTTCTAAGATAATGAATAAAATACGAAAATAACACGAACACAGATTAATCGTTAGGCCTAATGTAAATGAAATGTTTTAAATTCAATTTCCATAAAAAATTAATTAGACTAAATTATTATAGCAGTTTAGATTACAAGAAAATCATTTGTCTATATTATAGGAACATATATTATGGAATTTATTTGTAATAATTAAAAATGTGGGGTTTTTGCAGGGCTTTTCTTGGGAGTGTGAGCAATCACTGTGCACAGAATGTCAAGTGTCCTGTCTTGATCGTGAAGAAGCCAAAAACAAATGCCGGGAGCAAATGACTTTGTTAATTAATCCTCTTTTTTTTTACTTTTTACCACTTTATGTTCTTCCTTTTACCCTTTCCACTTCAAAAATGTCCTCATGCTGTTAGTTTTTAATTATTAACTGAGCTGCAGTGAACTTTCTGTTAAAAATCTTAAAAAAAAAAAAAAAAAAAAAAAAAGTAAATTGTAGCAACGATTCTTTAACTTTAACTCAATTGGGGCAATGATACCTTAACTAAAAATCTATTACTATTGGTCTCTTAACTCATTAAAACATGCATTTATGATCTCTCAACTAAAATTTCATTACTATTAGTCCCTTAACTTTAATTCAACTAGAGAAATGGTCTCTCAACTTTAATCCAATTTGAGTAATAGTCCCTCAAATTTTAACCCAATTTTAGTAATGGTCCTTCTAACATAACTCATTTTGACAAAATTTTTACGACGTTGATGAAAAGGACAATAACTGCACGTTTTGATGAGTTGAGGGATCCTAATTGTAGCAATATGCATTTCAACATAACTTACTTTGACAAAATTCTAACGAAATTGACAAAAAGAATCATAATTACATATTTTGATGAGTTGGGGGACCAATGGTAATAACTTTTTAGTTGAGGGATCAATGGTAATGATTTTTTAGTTAAGGAACTATTGCTCCAATTTGATTAAAGTTGAGAGACCATTACTATAATTTACTAAAAAAAAAAAGACTAGTTGGTGGCTTCGCCATGACGATTTATCTTTTCAGGGTCCGGGAAACTTACAAGGACATTTTAATCTTTTTATAGTCACCATAGTATGATTCACTAACACTAGAAATTAAATCCATAATATACTGTGTGAAATAAAGGCATAGAATTCGTCGTCAACCATTAAATCATGCCGTGATAATTGAATTTTCTGTTGAATATTTAGATAATAACAATTGCACTTAAAGCTTTTAACACAATTAACAGGTTCCAAATTGAATTTCTGAAGGAATTGTTTTCACTAACTTCCATGACACCAAGATTAACCAAATAAATAGTTTAAAAATAACACTAGTGGAACACGTAAACACTCAAACTGAGACATTACGTGGCCGGCTTTGTCATATGATTTTGTTCGTTGGCACCAACTCTGTAGAGAGGTCAAATTTTAAGGATGGTGCTATTTCTTTGATTGGCCATACTGTTGACAATACTTGTATTTACTTCTCTCACACCACTTGTTAATTTTTGTTCTTTGATTTTCTTTAATTCATCCGATCCGATGTTCGAAAATTAAAAATGTATGAGAGAAGTAAACAGGGGTATGTGGATATACAACTGTATAAGCCATGGTTGCGTTGAGGCTTCTCTTTGAATAAAAGTTGATGTATTAGCTAAAAAAAAAGGAATACAGAAATAAATTGACTCAAAATATTGCTCTAGTTTATGAACGGAGGAAAATCAAAAGTTACTGAAGCAGCATTGGGCTAAATTGTAGCAATAGTTCTTAAATTTTACTCTAATTTAATTTTAGTTGCTCAACTCTCATATTAATTTCTTTAGTCCTCGAACTTAACAATGTGTTGCACAATTGGTCCATTTTATTAATACCCTTTTTTCCGTTAAATTAGGGGGTAAATTACGAACTTCAATTTAAACCTTAAAAAAAACAATAGAATGAGCTAAAAGAAACTAATAAATGCGAATGAAAATATATAAATTAATATCTTAAAACAAAATGAAGGTTGGACTTTAGCAACTTGTAAATATTTAGCAATGCGATTTCAAAGTTGATAGGAGATTGAACTGTGGCTAGAGTTGAACAACTAACAAATAGCATATTGAACTACGAAAAAATATTTCTTATGTATTCAATTTTCTTACACGAAATAAATCTTATTTTTTAGTTATTTTTTTCTTTCTCATTTTAAAATTCATCCTTAGTAATGTGGGATGAAGTTGCTAATACATCCTAAAATTTAACAGAAAAATAGATGACATTAGTAAAAATGACCAATGGTACAACAAATTGTTAAGTTAGATGACTAAAGAAACTAATATGAGAATTCAACGACTAAAATTAAATTATGGGTAAAATTCAAGAACATTGTTGCCGGAACATTATAAAAAATGTGATACTTTCTACTCCTTTTTTTTTGCCCTAAATTTAATTGAGTGTACACGTGGCTTAGACCAGTTTTAGGTTATTATGTACACCGCTTTTTGCATAGGTGAGTTAAACAAGTTGTTTAGGATATTTTGTGTTCGCCGTCTTTCCACACTTGTGAGTTAGATTAGTTTTTAAGATATTACATTTGCAACTTTTTTATACATGTGATATAAGATTAGTTTTTTAGGATAAGGCGACGGAATAGCGCCCGCCCGCCGCCTTTTTGTACACATGATCAAAAACTAGTTTTCCAAAATATTATGTCCGCTGCTTTTTTGCGCACATGAGCTATATCAGTTTTTTGAACATTAATTGTGTGTGCCGTCTTTTTCATCCAAGTTCGATGTTTCTTCTCGTAAATTAAAGTAATTTGGAAAATTACCAGAAAACCAAGATAGGAAAGAGCTAGAATCCGTTCATGAGCAAAATAGGAAAAATCAATATCCAAACCTGAGCACAACAGGAAACCAACCCTGACCTATACTGTAAATTACTACTTAATCTTAATACAATATGCTAAATTTAATTGAGTTACTAAAAACCACATTTTATAAAAGGAAAACTCTCCAAACCTAACTTAATAGGAAATTTTAACATAAGAAGAAAGCCACGCTAACTCCTGCCATATATATTTTTTGGTACACTCTCACATACATTCTTCCACTCATGACTCGACTTATATATAAATGCACGGTTTGTGAAGCAAAATTCTCGTTCATTTCTACTTGCTTCACTTCCATTACTAATCTTTCCAATGGATTTAACCCCAACACGAAAGGATTTCCAAAAAGGTGATCGAGTGGAAGTGAGCAGCAGAGATTATGGGTTTATTGGCGCGTATTATGAAGCAACTGTAGTTGAAGACTTGGGGGGCAAGTATAAGGTGGAGTACTTGAGTTTGGTGGATGAGAAGGACGAGTCCCGACAACTCCAAGGGGATGTTGACGCAGATGAGCTCCGCCCTCTGCCACCTTCACCTTCAGAGCAAGAGAAAATGAAAAGTTTGATGTCCTTGATAGGGTTGATGTGCATGACCTGGACGCTTGGTGGGTAGGCACCATAACTGAGGTTAAAAAGGAGGGAGAGAAGGAGATTTACTCCGTTTACTTGGAAACTACGGCGGACCTCTGTGATTACTCTAAGGAACAATTGAGGTTTCATAAGGACTGGATCGACGGAGCGTGGGTTGATTGCAACGACAAGAAACAAAAGCAGGTGGGTTGCAAGAAGAGAGTGTGGATTGATGACAATGTTGAAGACAGGTACAAGAAAGTGCGCATCGATGGAAAGTTGGTCGATTGCAAGGATAAGTTAAGAGTGAGCCCTGTGATTCCAACGGGAAAGCCTTGAGTACCAGTTGTTAATTTACTAATTTTCTATGTTTTTTGTTTGAGATAATTGTGTTCTAGGGTTTAATTAGAAAATGTGCTGTTTGTTACGTTCTTCTTTCTTATTAATCTCCTGGTGTTTGATTGGGACAATTTGTGCTGTGTGAGTTCTGCGACTGGTTGTTAGTTAAGTGCATTTATGAATTATGATTGTTTTCAGTATTTTTAAATTCATGTTTATTTATTTTTCAGTTTAATTTTTTTTATTCTTCGGTTTGAAAGAGTATCCCTAATCAAAAGAATCCTAATTAAAGATTTAGTGTCCTTGTTAGTGAGCAAGAACATTTCTACTGTGGAAGAGCTACTTAACCTAGCCTAATTTTGGCTTCTGTGCTCCACATGCACATCACTTAGCCGTAGCCATATTGGCTAGAACTAATATGCTTCTTTTATGCACATCACTTTGAAACTTCGAATCTTCATTCTCACATCTAAATCAATTATTTAAAGTAAGAATATAGCTTATGTCCAGTATTATTCCATTGGTAATTGATAGGGTTTTGTTAGCTTCAAATTCGAAGATTCTGAAAATTTGATTTAGAGTAAACGATTTATGTACAATCATATGAATCAAAGATTAGGGAATCAACAGAGCTTTTTCGGAATTTATCTAATGAATGTATGAATGAAACTAACAATGTTTATACCAGGGAATTCAATCGTTACCTTTTAAACATTTAGCTAAATAATTAGCATTTTACCTCTCGGGTCTTGAGATTTTAGAGGCTCTGTGTGATACTCAAATAGAGGCCCTTACATGGTCTAGAATTTTGGTTGCTATATTTTCTTTTATATTTCATTGTGTATAAATTGATTTAGTGCAAAATAAAATAAATAAAAATGAAGCATGGTGTGGTGGCTATGTAGCAAACATATTACGTACCCTACAAATATTGTAATAGGACCATTCTTACTCTTATTATCACAAGAGTTCATCTCAAGAAAAAATTATGTGTTAAACAAATTACATATTATGATATTATGCCTATGATGAATTGTCGGTTTTTTTAGTGCATTTGTGCTCACATTCTAAAGTAAGGATGCTTCTCACCCCGCCCCGGTTGATTGTCGTTAGATTTGTTAAAATTTTGAGATTCGTGTCTTAAATCAATTAAACTAAATTAACCTAGCGGTAATCAATGGGGGTACTTTAGGGGCGTGACCTTTAAACAATGACAAAATAAATGATTAAATGACATCATATAAGAAAATAGGGGGCTTTTAAAGATTATATCTTCAACTTTTTAAGAACTTTTATTTATTATGATATTCCTAATTATAGATTTATTAGCAAAAGTGACCTTTTATAATGAAAGAAATTAACTACATATATTTAAAACAAGAAAAAAAAATAGTGCAGCAAGAAAGAGTTTTTTTTTTTTTTTTTTGGTAAAGTGCGGCAAGAAAAAGTTGTCTAGCTAAAAAGGCCCAGAATGGTGACCTACCCCACAAAAAAGTCATAATTAAAAGATATGTGAAGGTTGGGGTCGAACCCCGTGCCATGTAACTAGAAAAACCAGGGTGTGCGAGGTGTGCACCCTCATGGCCGGCCCTTCTCGGAATCTTATTTTTTGGTGAATAAAACATTACAACTGAGAACAATATTATAATTTTTTTTTTTATGTTACGTAGCATTAACTGCTACGAACATTTGATGACTTGGATTGGTTTTGATTTTTGATTTTATTGTGATCCTGTGAATCTAAGTCATTCAATGCTCATAGCATTTATGCTACATCGCACCTAAGTGAAACCTACAATATTTAGCTAAATTATGCAAGTGCTAAAATTGAGCCGAATTGTGGCTCCAGACTAATGCACTGGGGGCTAAATTGACTGAGCGCAGTGGACTACCTTTTTAAGACACTCTTTCAGCTGCATTTTTTGCATCTAAGCTCAAGTTATGTTTCCGTAAATTAGAGTAGTTTAGAATAATTAGTTGTTAAAAAAAAAAGGTCAAATTCAATCCCAAACACAACAGGAAATTTAGCAAATGCATTGGGCCAAATTATATTGAGCTACTAAGAAACCGAATTTTATAAAAGAAATAGGAAAGCTCTCCAAATCCCAAACCGATTAGGAAAATCTCTCCAATTCTAAACACAAGATGAAAACCTAGGCCAACCTCCTATATATATAGCCTTACATATGCTCTCACACAGTCCTACACTCCACATCTCTACGATTTCTGAAACAATTTCTCACTCATTGATCATTCTACTTAATTGCTTCACTAGTTGCGTTATTGATATATAATCTCTCTCTCTCTCTCTCTCTAATCGGTTTTCAAGAAGGTGAGAGCATGGTGAAAAAGGCTAGTTTTCCTAGAAAAGGAGTTTTTCAAAAAGGTGACAAGGTGGAAGTGTGCAGCAAAGAATATGGATTTATCGGCTCTTATTATGCAGCAATTGTACTTGAAAAGTTGGGGGACAAGTACAAGGTGGTGTACAAGAACCTGGTGGAGGAGGACGAGCTGTCCAAACCTCTAGTAGAGATTGTCACAGCAGATGAGGTCCGTCCTCGTCCTTCTCCACCTCCCCAAGAAATCGTGGATTTAGAGTTTGATGTCCTTGATAGAGTTGATGTATTTGACAACAAGGGTTGGTGGGTAGGCACCATTACTGAGAAGAGAGGGGGGGACAAATACTTCGTCTACTTTGAAACGACTGCGGATCATATAGCTTACCCTAAGAGGAAACTGAGGTTTCATAGGGACTGGATCGATGGACAGTGGCTGGTCTACAACAAGAAGAAGAGAGTTGTTCAGGTAGACGGAAAGTTGGTGGATTGCAAGAAGAGAGTCCGCGCGCAGGTTGATGAAAGAGTTGTGGACTGCTACAAGAGAGTGCGCATCGATGGAAACTTGGTGGATTGCAAGGACAGGTTAAGAGTCAGCGTTGTACCTGTATAAACCTTGAGTAGTGCTAGTTGTGTTTTAGTTTCTGTTTCTTGATTTTTAGTTAGAAAGTATGTTTTTGTTCCAGTTTTCCACTCTGATTAATTTCTTGGTGTATGGTGGAAACAATTTGGGAATATTGCTATTTAAGTGCAATTTATCAGGGTTTTCAGTAATTTCCTTTCATTTTTATTTATTATTATTATTATAGGAGGTGATGGTAACACCATGTGTTAGGAACTTTTGCATGAGTTTATTCAAGCAAAAGTTGACATAAAATTATTATGCGTGACGGTAACATCACGTGTTGTTATAAGGAATTCCGACAGAGCATCATTTATACAAGCCTCATCAACCTCTTAGATTCTTGCAATGTTATGTAGTAATTTACCTAACACATACATGATCATTTTGATGATATTGATAATTGGAACTTTATAAATGATATAAATTGACCATATCGCTTGTATTAAAAGGAAAAAAAAAACATAGTTATAAAATTACAGTTTTGTTAATCTTCAAAATTAACGATTCTGAGTAATTGATTATATTTATATAGCCTATAATCCATATGGAATTCAAATGTGGCATGTTAGCTGCATTCTCTTCATCATGTCAGCTCTCCATAGAGGAGGCTCAAATGTGACATGCTAACTGCAACCCATGCGATAATCATAGTTATAAAGCAAGAAAAAGCTCATCTGCAAAATCACGCCCTTGTTCCATTTTGCAAACAATGTAGCAGCATTGCCAATTATAAATTAATTAGTGCTCGGCAACAAACCCTAAAAAAAATTGCTTTCTATGAGATGGGTAATCTACAAAACCCTATGGAATATATCTTAAACATCAACTTAGGATTCTCGCTCTCTTAGTCATCTGGTAACTAAAGATTTATGATCACTCACTCTTAGATTTAATATCAAGTGAATGACTATGCTTAGCTAAACCTTTGCATTTTAATTGGCTAACTAGTTACTAAAATTTTTGTTGAAGAATGAACATCTTCTTCTTTATTTTTTCTTCCGAATATATATTTGGATTGTTTCTGTTTTGAAAAAAAAATAAAAACGTAAATTAAAAAAAAAAAAAGAAGATAAATAGAACTGTACTTTTTCCACATTAGGCTCCTACATTTTCTCATATCTTTCAACTAATCATATCTCAAAAGTCAAAAGCACTGCAGTCTGCAGCCATTTCTACAGGTGAATATTGTTTCAGTGACAGTAGAGATTACTGGGATCGATCGCCAAGTGCCGAGTCTTTCAAGTAGTAAGATCACCATTTTTTTCCATCTCTCTTTAGCCTTTACTTACTGTATTTTCTTTGTAACTTTATTCTCGTGGAAAAGAAGATATCAAATCAAAGCTTTCCGCCACGATGAAACCGCGGCTGATAAAGTCTTGCTCAAGTGTTCTATGGCGGCCCATTTGTTTTCTCTTCGTTCTGGTACTTTTTGTTCAACATATTTTTATCTCTTGTAAATTAAAACTTCACCCCATCAAGCAATTTTATTTCTTAATTACCCTAGTTTAATCTCCGTATTTACCAACGACAAAATTCTTGTGGCAGGGCCTTTCGTGCTACATGATCTCAATGTTGTTTAAGATGACGAAAAGAATCGAACATCGTATACTGTTCGAATCACATGAAGCACTCAACAGATCCTTTTCGAGCATCGACTCCACCTCAAAGTTGCTGACTCCATTGAATCCATCAGCAGTTAACCTGGCAAGATCTCTAACTTCGTCACTTAATGGAACCGAGCTCAATTTCACTACCATCCAAACAACGGTTAGTATACACTACAGTTTCATAAACGTTTCTCATAATTTCCCATGTTCAATTTAAACAAGAACAGTAAATCATTTAATCCATGTTGACATATTCGAACGATTTCATGCTTTGTCTCTAGGTTGTGCCAACGTTGTTTCTAGCTCTTTCGACGATTCCACATATCTCACAGGTCTCTTATATAGGATTAGATGGCCTTTTATTCTCACTTAACAACTACGCGGATCAAACTTATGCTGTCTTCTCCAATGCTTCATTTTCTTCAAATTGGTACACTAAACCCGTAAATAGAGACACCGGGAAATTATATGGCACCGCAGTTGCTTCAGATTCTAAGGTGATAGTAAATGCAAGTTGGTTCCAAGCCGCCTTAAACAGCACGAGCGGTTATTCTTGGCTTGGAAGGGGATGGGACAAAGCTCAAGGTAGCTTATTTATAAGTACTGTGGTTATGGATGGCAGAGGTGTGATTTCCCTTGGTATCCCAGCAAAAGTTGTAGTTGATCATTTTGCGGCTTTAGACTTCCATGGGGGTTATTTTCACTTGGCTACTGCAGATGGGGACGTGATTGTACAATCAAAACTTCCGAAAACCCAATTTCAGATCAGCAACAACACCGTTTCGGTGCAAACGGTGAAGCCGAATGGTAATGTTACTAGTAATCTTGGTCACTTCCCATGTAATACTCCTGATGATGACGACAAAGACAATGATGGCAGCAACGGTGGCAAATTGGGATCTTCTTACTCATGGAAACTCAAGGGAACCAAGTATAGGGCGTATTGCTCCACCCTCGAGATCATTGGAGTTCGATCGGTATGCCTTCACTCACAAAAAGATTTTCTTTTTAAAATATGCAGAATTTTAAATTCTGAAGTCATATTTTATGCACCATTTCAGTTTGATCCAACTTCCTTACAAGTTTCAGTTTTTTTTAGGTATATGTATTGACTTGTCCTGCCAATGGACTTGCAAACGTTGACCATAAATCGGTTGTGTTGCTTGGCATTCTGCTATTTATAATTCTTGTTTCTGTTTGCATATTCATATTCTTAATAATAAGAGCAGCAGGAAGAGAAATGATTTTATGTGCGCGGATCATAAAACAAGAAGGCGTGACACGTCAGGCAGAGCGCAAGAGTATGAATAAAACTAAAGCCTTCAGTAGAGCAAGCCATGACGTGCGTGCTTCGTTAGCAGCCATCACTGGTTTAATAGAGTTGTGTCCTCAAGATGCCAATCCTGACTCCGAATTAGCAGCCAACTTGGCCCAGATGGATACTTGTACAAATGACCTCCTAGGCATATTGAATTCCGTTCTTGATATAAGCAAGATTGAAGCCGGAAAAGTGCAACTTGAAATTGAAGAATTCAATCTGGCTCAGCTTCTTGAGGATGTCGTTGACATGTTCTATACTATTGCTATCAAGAAAGGAGTTGACATCGTGCTCGATCCTTGTGACGATTCAATTGTCAAAACATGTTATGTGAGAGGCGACAGAGGAAAGCTTAAACAGATAATGTGCAACTTACTCAGCAATGCCGTGAAGTTTACATCTGAAGGTCATATCACAGTTCGTGCCATGGTTCCGAAAACTAGTTATGAAAATGAAATCATCGCTTCCAATAATAATCGCGTGCTGAATTGTTTGTCATGGCTCTTTTACAAGAGTACAGAAGATTTCAACGATTTGGATGCTCTTCAGACATCTCAGAAAGATCCAAACAACACAAAGTTTGTCATTGAGGTCGATGATACAGGTGAGGGAATTCCTAAAGACAAGCAAGAATTTGTTTTCGAAAACTTTGTGCAAGTTACAGACCGGGCTACTGGAAAAGAAGGATCTGGTTTGAGACTTGGTATTGTTGAATCTTTGGTAAGTAATTTAGAACGAAGTTAACATACTACTACATTTTCATATGCTAATACATTACATTTTTCTGATTTTAGGTGCGTCTAATGGGCGGAGAAATAAGAATTCTTGATAAAGAGAATGGTGAGAGAGGCACTTGTTTCAGCTTTGATGTTTCTCTTCTAACATGTAAACCCAAGTCTGGTGACATTGAAGAGGAATCCCCTATAATGCATAGTGATCGCTCTGCGAATGCATTTCAACCTTTTGGTATACAACTTTTGGTGCCTTCACCAAAACAAGAGGGGTCTCATGTCGTACTCTTCATAGAAGGCGATGAACGAAGAAAGATTTTGGTGAAGTACATCAGCAGGTTGAACATAAAAGTATCATATGTAAAGTATGCGAACAATCTTCTTCCACAACTTGAGAAGATAAAGCGTAAGTTGGATATTTCCTACTTTAATTATTCAGAAAAATCCCAACAAGTTTTTCATGACCAATTAAGCACATCTGCATTCAAAAACTCGGATTCAAGAGCAAGTGATGGATCTCACAGCACCAAGGAAGAAGATGGACATACTTGTAGGAAGATCAACTCTAGAAATTCACCTGCGAGCAACGTACTCGTTGTGATTGACACCAACGGAGGTGCTTTCTCTGAGCTGTATACAACTATGGCTAGCTTCAGGAAAGACATTCATAACTCAAGATGCAAGGTTGTCTGGCTCGATAGTTCAATCACGCGCAACACGCATCCGCTGCAAATGGAAGGATGTAGCCTAGCTCCTCCAAATGATTACATCATATACAAACCATTTCACGGATCACGCTTACATAAAGTATTGGGACTATTACCTGAACTTAAGAGATGCAACTTGCCAGAACTAGAAACGAGAAAACAAGATCAAGAAGCGCAACAAATAGAGCTTGAGCTCGCAACAAATGAATCAGGAATGTCGTCGTCATTGCAACAAATAACCATTCATAAATGTGTAGAGAAAAAAAGTGACCAGGAGCTCTTGCACGGAAAGAAAGTTCTGGTTGTTGACGATGATCAAGTAACAAGAAAGGTAATTGCTAGTTCTCTTCAAGGACTCGGAGCAGTCGTTGAAGTGTTAGAGAACGGGAAAGAGGCCTTTGAACAAGTTTTCAAAGCTCTAAGCGATCATAGCAAGAAGGGTCATACGAATTCCACCCTCTACGACTACATTTTCATGGATTGTCAGGTAACGTGATCAACTCACACACAATTCAAATTCAGATCATTCTTTTCCGAGGGGATATAAACTCGTACGTTTTATGTTTCTGCAGATGCTGATAATGGATGGATTCGCAGCAACAAGACTGATACGGATGGAGGAAAAACAGTACGGCGTTCATCTTCGAATTATCGCGTTAACATGTCATGCGGTAACTGAGGAGGTTAGCAAGACTCTTGAAGCAGGGATGGATGTCCATTTAACCAAACCATTCAAGATGGACAAGTTCATGCGGGTCATCAAATCCTTTGAGGACAATTAAAACTAGTTTTTCCGTTTCTTGTTTTCGTAGAGTGTTGGGTTTTAGTTTTTTGCTGTGAATAATTTTGTGTTTCTCCGGCAAATAAGTTTGTATTGTTGGTTTCCTCCGATCTAAATCCATCTGTATATAATTATCGATCTAATTTTGAGACAATGAAGGTATATATATTGGGTGAGTTACAACTTTGATCTCGGTGGTTTTGGGTAATGACTACAACCAATGTCTTTTAGGTAATCACCATTTGCTACCATCACAAAAGAAAATGGCTTTTTTTTTTCCCTGCCAAAATGATCCTGAGATTTGAATAACTCTCTATTTTAGTTTTTGACAATGAAAACCGATGAAAATGGTTCTGAATTTGTCATCCGTAAATCATGTTGGTCATTTCGTGAAAAATCTGTCAATATTGTTGTTAAGTAGATTAGTTGTTTTGACAAAAATACCCTTAAAAAGGTTGTCACGTAGTCGTTCGTATGACAATTTAATAAAGATATTGCCACTCAATATTACGGTCAAGTAGTATTCTTCTTCACTTGGAAGTAAGAGGTCTTAAGTTCAAATCTCGTAGATAACGAACTCGATACCAAATTAGGCTTCCCATTGTGTGGCTTAGTCGAACTCTCTCTCCCCTTAGTGTAAAAATATCGTTGTACCAAAAAAAAAATAAACATAAAGATGTTAATAGATTTTTCACGAAAGAACCAAAATGATTTACAATGGACTAATTCAAAGATCACTTTTATTGATTTTTATTATAAAGACCAAAAAATGAAGAGTTAATGTCTATTTCAGTGTTCATTTTGGCTAAGCATTTTGCTGCGACAAGCCTCGCTCCTCAACAAAATGACTCCGTAACAGAACTAAAATTTGGCCATTAAATCTAATTTGGAAAATCCCATACGCATTTACTCGGTTCTTTTAAATCATTTTGGAAAATTGACATGTTTCTCGGCCTAGTAATAAAGAAACACCTAAATTTAACCATTTGACCGAACGAGTAAAACACAAGGACCATTTTTAGCATTGAAGCGAAAATATAACACGAAATACTGATCCGAAAGAAGAAATTCAACGGCGACTTGTTTAAACTATTCTCATGTGATTATGAAAAACACAATGTCATCGTTTTTGTTCCCATGAGAGATTAAGACATCAGCAACATTCAACATTTAGCAGTATCTCTTCCCTCTTAACACTTCTACAGCTAAAAAATAAGGAGAAAAAATGGCGCACTCGCCGAAGCTTTCTCTAGATGCTTCCCTTCCTACAGTTCATCCTGAAAATACAAAGCACAAGGCGCATCGATCAGTAAATAGATTAGTAGTAGTAGTTGAGTAACCGCAAAAGGAAAGAAGCCTACATGTTTCTCAGACTCCTCGGCGCTCTCTTCAGTTGAGTCCGATTTAGATTCCGCATCAGAGTCATCTTCAGCATCATCTGTGTCAGCATCATCCTCTTCCTCAGCCTGAAAAAACACGGCGAAGCTGTTAGGGACCGCAGAAAAAGAAGATAGCTGATAAATTCTCATGTGTCAGTTTCGTATGCTTACATCAGAGTCAACTGGATCTTTTGCTTCCTGGTAAAAGGATTAAGGTAACAAGTTAACAAGCATGAAAAAAAAAAAAAAGATTACTGATCGTGAAAATAATTTTGGACTACTCAAATAAACATTAGAGGAAAAAAGAGTAGTACCTCCTCCTGCTTTTTCTCTGCCTCTTCAAATGCTGCCTTCTCGGCCTGAAATTAAACGTAACTCAATCAGACATGTTAAAAGAGCTATGGTAAAAGGTATATTAGATCACATACATCTTTTTGTTTGCCCCATGTTTCCTCAGCCAGTTGCTTTGCATACTCCGGCTCATCAGTGATCAAGATATTGTCAAACAGGGTTCCAGATTTCACCTGGGACATTGAGCATCTTGCTTATCAGACTTTGAGAACTGAGGGAATAAAAATTGCAAACCGGGGGATGGCAACAGACAATTTTACCTGCCACAATTCAATTCCAACATACTTCAAGTTGGGGTAAACATACAGCTCAGGGTCATCCTTGAACTCTGGGTTGTCAATCAGTGGTGCCTTCCACTTTCCCTTGAAGTTGGGGTTCTTGATTTTCTGCACAGTGGCGGAGAAAAAGTGAAAGAGCGTTTAAAAGTTGTAACTCAAGCTATTATTCAAACCAGAATTCCACAAACCTTTGGCTTCCATTCACCCTTGTATTCAGGGTTGGGAATGGTTGGGGCAGTCCATTCACCATCTTCCTCATCATCCCAATCTTCCGGCTGAAACACCAAGTCACTTTAGTGATCAACAAAACTCTTCCATGTATGTGTAATATTTTGGAAACCCAAGTCAAATCATTACCTTCTTGGCATCGGGATCGGTTATCTCCTTGGGAATGTCATCATAACCCTACAAACAAACAATGAGAGTCAGTATGCTTGTACATTCAGCACATAAAAAGAATAAGCACAAACGATTAGAATATAAAAGGCGACTACCTCTGGCTTAGTATCTTCAGGGTCAGGAATGTATTCTTTGTCTTCCCAATCTTCAGGCTGCCGATAGCAGATAGTTAGTTAGTCAACACTTCAGTTATGAACTTATGATTAGTTTATTGAAATCTCAAGAATTCAATTATAGATACATACTTTCTTGGCCTCAGGATCCTTGATTTTCTTTGGTGGCAGAAGATCCCAATCACTGTATAGGCTACCAGTTTGTTTCTCTACATTGTCGATAAGGATGCTGTAGGTAGCATCTGGGCGGAGGATGAAAGTATAAACATGAGTGAGTTGGTCAGTCTCACAGGGGACGTCCTTCTTGATCAATTTATTTGTGTCATTGTAGTTAAGGATTGCGTGAACTTTCTTGGTGGTGTATCCACAGATATCTGGCCCAAACATGATACTGCAAACCATAAAAGTTTAAATACCAAGTCAGAAACTATTGAGGTAAAGAGACTGATGCAATGAAAACAAAATAGTCAGACCAAAAGGGGATATCACTTGCCTGTATGGGGTATCACCGCCGAATTTCTTCTGATCAACGTCACCACTGAGTAACTTGATATAGCCACCACCACAGTCAAGCTTCTGCTCATGTTTCACGGAAAATTGGAACACTAGTGTCTTGTCCTTGTTGCTGAATTCAGGGAACTCAGCTGAAATGGCATAAAACCTATAGTCCTCACTTGTTTGGATACCTATACCAATATGTCAAAATCATCAAAACTGGTCATCAGGACGATCTTCAAAGTATTAAAAATCAAGCAAGGAACACAGTGAAAAATCTGCAGATAACATAAAAACATAGAGACAGAATTGGTTATGAAGAGATACCTTTGTCATTAGCATCTCCATTCCATTTTCCAGAGGTGTAGTTCCATTCTCCGGCAAGGCCCTCGTCTCTCTTCCAGTCAGATTTCACCCAACGTTTGTCCCATCCATCTTTTAGTATTTGCCAAATAATACAAGAAACAAGAGAAAAAGAATTAGCATAACAGAATAAGAAAAAGAATTAGCATATCACTGGAAACAGTGAAAAGGAAGGAAACAAAAAAGAAGACAGGGTTAAAGACCCTTTTCAATACTTGCTGAATAAGAAAACATCACTGGAAACAGTGACAAATATCACAGTTGACAGTACAGTATCAGGCAAAAATCTATGCCTTTTCGAGGTCCTACTAATCACACCCTGGCAAGAATGCAACATTACTAGGTGATTGACAAGTCCAACAGCTGAAAGAAGTGAGCCCTCGAGGCCATTGACGGCTAGAGCAACGCTAGAATTTCAATTTTAACGGAACTTATAGGATTAATAATAAATCCTCACCCAATTCATATACGGTAGCTTAACCACCTTGTGAGACTACAGAATACAAACAGATAATCCTCATCTTGAACTGAAATTGGACTAGAAAACCTTCGATTTATTGATTTTCTCCATCCAATCCCCATTGAAATTGATTCTAACAAAACCCTAAACCCTACTTTGTTATTTACAAACACTTCACTTATCACATTTACCACCCACACCCACACCCACACCCACCACACCCACACCCACAACCAAACATTTCGATTCGAAATCATAAATCAAGCTGAAAACTCAAAATTCAATCAGATTTCTAATAGATCCAATTGAAAACAGTAAATTCATCTCACACTAACGGTCTTTAGATAAAAATTAAACAAAAAAACAATCAGATCGAGTCGCAGACTCATAACCAACACCGATCCTCGAGAAATGACATCGGATTCAACTCAATTACCGCACAAAAAACCTCTAAAATCCTAATCAATTGAAAATGCAACCAAACACGGACGATATAATCCATACACCTATAGATACACAAAGGGAGAAACAGAGAGAGATGTGTATAACCTTCGAAGCGCTCTTCGAAGAAAACCTTGGCGGAGGCGATGGCGAGGAGAGAGAGAAGGACCAGGGACAGCAAGCTCGAGCTGTTTCGAACCCTAAACGCCATCGTTTTCGCCACTGAGAAAGTCTGCAGCTACATAGACTGATGGGAGAGCCCGATCCCCGGAGTGCTCTTATATAAACTGGCTTTTGACCGCAGCGGTTAAACAATGGGTATTAGCTTTGAGGTAAGAGTCCTAGCTGGACGACGTGACCAATGAAAGGTCGCCACGTTGTTTCTGCTTGTCATTGACATGAGGTGGCGGGATCCGATTGGGCCCTCACTGAAGTTTTGCGCTGCAGCAATTGGGTGCGCCACGTAGATTGGAGGAGGAGGGTGTGAGTTTACGGAAATGCCCCTCTGTTTGGTTTGGTAACTTTGTGAGGAAAATTAATGACATTATCTTTCTTTTCTTTTTTGTTTTAAAATACAATTAATGGCATTATCTTTGAATTTAATTTAAAGGGATTTGGTCCTCTAGAAACATCTAATACTTAATAGGAGGATATTAGGATTTAGGATTAGGTTAAACAAATCACTAATTCTAATTAAGGGCACGTTTGAATATGTTTTTAAAATGATTGAAAGTACTTTTAGAAAAAAATGTTTTTGGATTTCAAAAGCACTTTAAATGTTTTCTGCAAGAAGCACCAGTTATGTGTTTCTTCCAGGAAGCACTTTAAGTGTTTTTTCATGATTTACTTACATTTTTACTGAGAATTTGTTCTAAAAATATTTTTACCAAAATCAATTTCGATCATTTTA